ACAGCAAAATACCAGAAAACAATTGGACGGCATCCGACTCGCTTCCCTTGATCCTTTTCAAGGTCTCGCCCAACTCCATTCTCTCTATGTGGTCAAGAGAGGCGCCGTGTATCGCTGACTTGGAGCATTAGCTCCAACTCCGGCCCTTATCCTTTTTTTCGCCGCCTCCTCCACCGCTCCACCTACATCTGCGGACATGCCTGCAGACGTATTGCATTCAGCAGCAGATAAGTTTCGGTAAAGTGATGCCCTGAAACTACGATTCAGATAAATTGATTAAAACAAGAAATGAATTGATCCCAATAGACGCAAGAGTCCCTTTCAGGATGAGAATGGTAGGGAGGTCTTAATCGTTCCACGTCTGGCCCAAGTTTCCTTCCCTCGATAATGGTTTGGAATGTAACAAGTCTCGAGTGTGCACACACGGGCAAAGCATAGCGGATAGCAACGAGTGCATGGAGGAGGGTGAGCATAGGAATTGTATTACGATTTATTCGTTACTTATCTTAATGAACTCCCTCTACCGATACAGCATAGCAGAAAAGAACGAAATTGTGTGCCCCTGTGTGCAACCTTCTTTCCCGTTAGGAGGGTTTTGCTGGGGAGAATGTCTGCTTTGGATGCACCAAAAGAGAAAGACGAAGAAACGAAGTGCCGTTTCAGTTGCCAAGTTAGATTGGATTGCCATACTCAGTTCTAATAGATGTCCCGCTTTCGTAACTAAGGAATTTTAAGACCAAGGGACGTCTAGCCTTAAAATACGAGAATACTGAAAACAAATAAGCAGTACATTAAGCTTGTTGAAAGCCAAAAGGACTGCTTTAGAAGAAGTTTAACTATGTTTAGTGTCCCCTTATAGACCGTTTGCAATATCCCCCAAGCGCCCCGACCCGCAATAAAGGAATCATGGGAACGGTGTTCCTTCAACTCCTTAGTGATTGGCAATTTCGACCCAATCCATGGTTACACACTTTTTGAGCGAAATTTGGAGTCACCCTGAACAAGCGCCTGATATACCCCAAGGACCTGTCATATCGCTTTTAAAATTTCTCAGTGTTAGCGGTTTTGGTACTGTGCATGCTATCCACCCTCAATCTAGACAAGCTGCCGAAATCTCTTAGATTATTATCATTCTCGTACACAGCTTCAAAGTTGCTGATATTAGGTTGGAAAAGGCTAAAAATGCTATAAACAGCCCCACTAACTACGAGCTAAATTCTGGTTTTTGTTGTTGTGAATTCTTGGCTTTTTAAGCAATTCCTGCTAAAACAACAATCACGAGAATGATAATATAAGAGATTTCTGCACCTCAACCAGGTTGAAAGGTAAATCGCATGCACAGTATAAAAAATGCTGACATTGACGAGACATTTTAAGTGATATGACCGGTCCTTGGGGTATATCAGGCGCATGTTCAGGGTAACTCCGAATTATGCTCAAAAACTGTGTAACCAGGGAATTGGTCGAAATTAGCGATCACTAGGGAGCTGAAGGAACACTGTTCCCGTGATTCTTAGAGTGTGGGCCAGGGCGCTTTGGAATATAGCAAATGGTCTATTGGTATTACGAGTTTATTGCATACGGAATTCAAGTAGGCCCGTATTAATAACTGCTGCTTTAAAATACTGCCACCAAAAATTTTGTGTTGTTTTGTTCGACGATTTATTATGGTGTCTGAAGACTACCCAATCAATATTTTGCTACAGCGTCACATATATTTTTAATAATGTAAAAAAATGCAACTGCTCGAAAACGAAACTGGACTGGGGAGGAAGAAGAAATATAAAGGTGATAGTTATTAAAAATCAAGTTGCTGTGCAACTTGTTTTTTTTTTTCAATCAACACATTTGAAGTGTTTTAGAAGCCACCAAAAATGGGTATTATATTTTCTGCCTATTTTTAGTACTCAATCTGTGCCTTCGATGACCCACGATTTTGATTATCTTAGGTGGTTGTGTCTAAACCTTAGAAAATGGTATGTGACCTCGGAGAGGAGAGTTAGCGCGACTCAAACTGGTTGGTTCTCAATCGACAGTTTTCAGGCGGAAAGAAAATGAATTTCGAGCTGCAAATTCTGTTTTGTTTAGTTGGGCTCTCATATGTCATGTACAGATAAAAATCTTGGCAAGCTTAAATGCCCTGTCAGTGTCACTTTGAAGACACTGTTCAATTGAGTTACTCATGAATTGAGAGTTTGATTAGGCAAATATCAAACGACCAAACATAATTGTGCCCTTTATGATGCACGGCAACTAAACTGAAAAACTGGGTGGCATTTCATTATCTTAATTTTAACGCCATATGGACAAAACCCGTTAAAACTTGTGTGGCAACTTATATGAAGTATCCAACCAAGGTCCAATGAAACATGTAAACCATCCTTATCAATGCTGAGAACCTGATTCAGCCCATTCCCTAATTCCTTGAAAGCTATACTTTCTAGCACAGGCTCTGGGTCAATGTCATGCAGCAAGAAAGCTGTTAGCCTTTCTTTTAATGCATACACAATGCTATCCAAAGCAAAAGATTATACAATTCTAAAAAGAAAAAAATCTTCGGTCAGTGATAGTGCCCAGCAAGTCTGGAGACCAGGAGATACTTCATAATCAAAGAAACCATCTGGTTTTGGCCTCTCAAGATTCCAGCCACGGATTTGGCATGCAGGCTGATAAGGAGGTCCGATATCTGGGATGTGTTCTATCCGGTTTGGTCCAGTCCAAACTCCAATTTTTTTTTCATCTCTTGCAATAGTGGGAGACCTTCAAGAAACTAGAGTTGACCAATGCCGACGACAGACACTGGGCAACCGATGAGCCAGCTCTTGAAAAAGTGATATGTGGTAATACACTGACAAATGCTGCTCTTTTTCGCATAGACACACATCAATACCACCACGGGAAATATGAGCCAAAACAGCCCTCCATGTAAATGCAAAGCTTAGGTCCATCTTAACTCTGACAATCTGAGAGCTTATGAACTTCGTGGGAATGGTAGGAGCAACAAATGTCCAGACCAAGTGTTTCCGCTCATATCTGGGTGTGCACATGTTCATTTCATACTTCGACAGCAACCAATTAAAAAAAAAAAAAAAAGCAATTGAGGCACTGCACAGGCTTAAATAAAGGCTGTGGCTAATGTTCCATCCAGACTGAACGGTAGTCACCAGTAGAGTTCCATCCAACCGGAACTCTAGTTCAGTCCAGGCAACCACCAGAGTTCCAATAGTCACTACAAAAGTTCTCCCCATCGTTCTGCGACGTATCGTCTACAAGAAAAAATTGGACGTTTTAGTGATTTTACAGCGTAAGGTTGGTCTGCCAGTAGGGGCGACACTGGTTCATACTGTAGATGAGAAATTTTGCCAGTGCAGTACGACCGCTAACCTCGGGTCTTTAACGTGCTCACGCAGTAGTGATACACGACCGCACGCCAGTACGATGCTCATCCAGATCAAAACGGGCAGGGGTGAAGCTCGAACCCAGGATCCCTGGGTTCTGCAGCGCGAGCTTTCGCTCCACGTGCGTCGAGCTGGGTGTGCGCTTGTGATAGTTCTAAAAAAAGTGTTGTCAATACCACAAAATGTTTGGTAAACAAAAAGGAAAAAAAATGTATGTCTGCCACCCCTCAGATTTGATCCTGGGTCTGCTGCGTGTGAAGCGGCCACGTTACCACAGAGCTATGCCACAGCTTTGGCCATTCATTTTGAGAATTCGTACCATACACACCATTTTTTTTTTTACTAAATGCATAATTAACTCTTGAAGCCACTAAAAGCTGGCGCATGATTTACCAAGATCTGTTTACCCAAGCCAGCCGCCCCCCCCTTGCCAGGATCAATATTCTTGCTGGGCCCTCAGGACCGAACCAACCGGACTCTCGAGGGCTTGCTCTCATTACGTGTGGACAAAGCTCTACTGGGCCTGCTATTGTTCCGTTTGGATGGAACTCTAGACACTCCGTTAAATAAATGAGCTAGCTGGTATTTTGTGGTAAGTCAACAACCACTACCAGCAGAATTTCGAGTATCTAATATAGCCTTAGAAACGAAGATCGCCGAGACGAACACACAAAAAGACTTGCACTTGTAATGGACAACATTGCGCAGGGATGGCCGAGACCCTGAATATTATTTTCTTGACGGACCCACAACTATTCTATGCTTTCTTTTTTTATGTGTCTTTTTAGTCCCTACCGCTGTCGTCCAGTGCTGAGACTCCGCACATACACGATGTGCAATCCCCTAGCAATCATATTCATATTGTAATTCCTGGTATTTTACCGAGCCCATCGTGACGACACTTGCCGTTTAACACGTTTGGAACACCTGCGGCACTTTAAGCGGACAGGGAAAGACCCTTAACAATGTTTACGGCCACGAAAAAAAAAAAAAAAATCCTATCTCAATCAAACCACTTCAGAATAAACATACATAAAAAAGTGTTTGAAAAGAAGTACCTGCAACATGTGGAGCATCACGCGAGCGACCCCACACAACTACAAGCAGTCTTCGTGACTGCTCACCTGCGGCTTGAACACACAGTGTAACAACTTGTTTTGTTTTGAACAATCCGGCATTGCTACCTCAAATCGGTGCGGTTGGCGCAGACAGCCAGCGATAACGATATTTTACTGTAGGAAAACACCGCGGTAAAAGCCGACCTGCCCCCACGCCGCCCACAAAACCTCTTTCCCTCTCTTTTTTTTTCCCGTTTACTACTTTTTGGGGGGAGAAAGCAACAAAGACAAAGCCGCATAACAACATAACAGGTGATTGGCACGGGCGCGTACGTCGCAACGCGAGCTCTCGTCGATACTGAGGCTTGGCCGCACAAAGCCCACCGATTTAACGGAATGCAGCCTATTGAATGGCACACGCACGTGAGCCACGTGAGCTTTCAGGCTGTCCTTCGGTGTGTGTGAGGAAGGGGTTTGCACGAAACACAAACGAGAAGCGAACAAAAAAAAAAAAAAAAGAGAGAAAACTGAGCGGCGGGCTCACCTTCGCTGAAGTAGCCACACTTGGCGATGTCGTCCAGTGCAGACTTTGTGTCCCGCCATATTCGACGCAGATACCTGCTGTTCTTGCTGAATTTGCCGAATTCGTTCGGCAAACTAGCAGACATCTTCTTCTTGCGGCTGGATTTCTTCATTTGAGACGAGCGACGGGGCAGCGGTCCTCGAGAAAAACTTGGCCCACCAGCTGAGCGATAAGCCTAACTTCCGCTACGTCAGGGGTGATGACGTCAGCGGCGGCGTGCACGTGACCTGAGCGAAACGAGAAAAGGAGGTGTGCCCGTTTTCAAACTGCTCCCGCGTATCTTTTTCTGCGCGCGAGGTCCTTGCCATTTCTCCCTCCTTCGCTTCTGGCTTTCGAGTTGCTCGCTTGGAATGGCGAAATACCTCGCCTAGTGTACGCAACGAGTGAGTTTTATTTTTAATAAACAAAGAAAAAGAAACGATTGCGACGTCATATTTGACATTTAGCGCAAAACAATTCTTCCTGCGAGGATATTTTTTCCTTCAAAATTACTTATAAGGGGTATGGTCCCACTAAGCTTACAAAGTAATGAGCTGTGAAGTAAAATAAATCAAGTACATTGAAACTGCATATTAAACCTAAGTCCACGACTAAATAATAATAAAAAGAAAACGAAATTATTACACATGGCGTTTTTTTTTTCTTTTTTTTTTTTAAATTATTATTATTATTCTGGTCTCAGATTAATCGAGGGGATCGTCGGGATCATTCACCAACTTGCCTGCCAATTTTTAAAATTTCCTTTTTCAAGTTTAGTGACGACATACGATTGCCTTATGCATAAATTTCGAGAGGAAAGCAAAAAGAACTTCGTTTACTTATAAATCCGGAGACACGGAACACAAAATAGGGGTACAGGAAAACGAGGGGGAAGTACGGAGGGCGTACTTCATTTGTATTCACCCCTCGCGTTTTGTTTTACAACGTGCCAGTGTTGGAAAGTACGTTAAGTACATTGTACTTAAAGTCCTCTCCCCCTTGTATATATCATCTCATAATCATCATCACTAGACGTGGCACCGCGGGCCTCCATGGTACGGGCTGTCGCCTTTCCGCGGTGCCACGGCTCTCCTGAGCAAATAAAGATTACGATTACGATTACTACTTTAAGTATGTTTAGAAAACCTGTACTTTATTTGAAGTACATTTCTCTGAGTATGTACCTGTATTTTCTTGTACTTTTCGAGGAAAATACAACTCCCGTCTTGAAATACATTCCCCAAATTCGGTCTTGTTATATTTGTGTCACAAAATTATGCTTTGTCATCTCTGAAGAAATACTGGGGGAGCGATATTCTACTCTTACCAGAAACGCGAGCAGGACGCATCGCTCCGTTAGTACTGCGGGCGGCTTTCCCGTAGCCATTTCGAACTCTCGCTGCTTCTCGCTCGGACATCGCAAGCGAAGAGGTTAAAAAAATTAGGAGATGATACTCCTCCGCGAGAGAATTGCTTGCGGAAGTTACGGAGCTGAAATCATGCTCTTTCCTAGTACGTCGTCATCATCATCATTGTCATCATCATCGTCATTTATTAATCCTTGAGGGTCCTTACGCGGGCATTACACAAGGTGGGGGTACAAGCTGAAGAATATTGTCATATAAAGCAAAGAAAGAGGAAGGTTAAACACCCAAACACTTTTAGGAAAAGAACAGCTAATTAAACGGAACAAACAATACTCAAATAAAACATTTCTACAAACACGAATCGAATTTGCTATTAGTGCAATCGCAGATCGGTGGTTATGTTGGGATATATATAATCTGTTTTGGTCACGATACTGCTACGTAGGTTATTCCAGTCTGTTATTGTTAATGGCAATCGGAGTTAAGAAACGAGACCGATGAACGGTCTTTACAGACGCTATCAATGAAAGGAAATTATGCGAATGTGTGCGAATAACAATAAAGTTCTGATGGCATGGTTATGATAGTAAATCTTGTGAAAAAGAAACAGGCGCGGTGATAATGTTCCTCTATACCAGGGGTATTCAAACATTTTGGCTAGAAGGCTCGACTGGGTACCTTTTGCAGTCTCGAGATAAGTTAGATAAAACAATATAAACGAGGAAATACTAAAAAAAATATACCTAAATAAGCATTTCAACCCAATTTTTTTTTTTAACCAGAGTCAAAATTCAAAAAGGAATGTAAGCTGGACAATCACATAAACTTTATTTTTAGGCGCAATATTTTAGTAAAATGCCATTAAAAATAATTTTGATCGAGAAGTCACCAGACATAAATCAAAGCAAACTTTGGAATGTTCACACAGGGCAGAAGACTAAGGAAAACGCTAGTTCAGATCAGATCACTATGAACGATGAAACTACGAAAAGCAATTTCGCTCGCAAGTTCGTCTGCTTCTTGCACAGGGGTTGCGACGACGTCAGAACGCCGAGCTCTTATTGGCTGATTGAAGGAAATAGTGGGTAGACCTGAATGCATCTAGCATTGAGGTCTACCCACTATCCTTTCAATCGAAGCCAATTAGAGCTCGGCGTCGTCCTGACGTCACCGTCACACCCTGCGCAAGGAGCAGACGACTTGCTCTCCACATACTGTGGTCTTTGGAACGCGTCTTCGACTAATGTGTTTATCGCGCCCAGAAAAGTGCTAAAAAAAGAAAAAGAACACTGTATAGGGGAATGAAAGAGCATCGTGAAAGGGAGTGCAGGTACTTTAAAGTACCCGCACTTTACTTCGAAACTATATTGACTGTAATTTGTAGAACTTCACTTCAAGAACATTGCGTCCGGTGAACTTACTTTACTTGAAGTAAAACGTAATATCTCCTTTGCTTTGTACTTTGCTACGCACTTTCTAAATGTGCATACTTTAACCCAACACCGCTACGTGCGGATGTCGACTGGATGTACTCAAGACCAGGCCTCGTCAACGATTCGCTCAACCGGAGTCGACATAGGAAGGATTGTCTCGCTCTTGAAATCGAACCCTGCTCTGGTCATTCGTTGAGATTCACAAGCAGACGTAACAGTCAATGTTTTGAGAATGGGGCAAAGACACGATGAACGGAGGCATATGACTCCGACGGACCCAAGATGATGCAACACTGGTCACTGTGTCTGAAGCGCTCATAGGTCTTGCCAAGTTTCCAAGTACTATAAACTAGACAACTTTGACAAAATGGAGGATCGACGTCATGTGAAAACGCCCTGTAGTCTGTTGCAGGTTAAGAAAAGCAGGGCAAGCCCATCCCACAAAGCTATCTGCTCACCGTCATTGGCCATTTCCTCCTCTGTAGAGTTCGCTCTGTTAAAGTGGAAAGAAGGAAGGGCTTTGTGGGAGAAGCTTGTAAGCAAGCCAAGCAGCAAGCACTTAGCGAAAAAAAAAAAAAAAAAACACGCACACACAGAGTGGGACGCAGCCGACACCTCCTAGACAGCTTTCAAAGCCTGCGCGTCACGTGACATGACGTCACGTCCCGGAGGCCCGCACGGGCGCTGATTGGGTTCGAGTGTCGCGTCAGCCTTCGCGTGGGACTATGATGGGAAACGAGTCCCACGCGAATGCTGTCGCGGCACTCGCGTGCAGGCCTCCGGGACGTGACGTCATGTCACGTGACGCGCAGGCTTTGAAAGCTGTCTACGAGGTGTTGACACAGCACGATGAAGTGACCGCCGGTTTGTTTTGTTTCTCTCAAAACTGAAAGAGTGGCACGAAAATTATGGTTTTGAGATGGAATGTGCTTATCCGGAATATCGGCTTGGGTGATAATCTTTGGTGTTCCCTATGGCGCTTTATCTCAGTTTACCCAGTAAGTTGACTGAGATAAGGCGTCGATGTCGTGTTCGTGGTATACGTGTGTCGCGCAGTGGAGTACATAGAACGCTGCAAGCTTCGCCCTCAAATTTTGTAAAAGATCGTCAAAGACGGTCAATTATGCGGATGTTGTGCACGCATAGGATGCATGAGCGTGTTCGGACAAAGACGGCCGTAGGGGTGTCACGCCTATTTCTTGTCTTCACTTCAATTTTTATATGAGGTAGCAAGGTACGTCCACGGAACAAAATAAAGCTTAACATTGCAAAAAAAAAAAAGAAACTTCTTTGTTAAAAAAAAAAGGTCGTGTCAGAGAAAAGGTGGAACTACGATTTTTCCAATATCGCCTCGACGCAACTTGCCACAGGAATAAAAAATAAAATTTTCTACGACGCAAATATTTGTATGTATAAAGCACGCCAACTGGTCTACTTGAATCAGTCAGTCTTAATTTATTTAAGTTTATATTTCAAGTACAATAAAATAACAAACTTGGCCTCTTGCCAAACTCTTTCATATTTAGGCTTCTTTTTTTTTTTTTTTTTTTGCAATTGTTAAACGCATTTTAGAATTAAGTTTTTCGGCTGAAACGTTATGGGGAGGGGGGGGGGGGGTGCGATACGGCTACGAAACCTTAGCTTTGCGGCGCCTTTGATCCATATAGGGTGTTGAGCTTGGTTGATTGCGCTGCACAGCTTTCCCGGGATGACATATTAATGTGGGTAGCCCTTTGACAAAACGATTCGATTCATTCATTCTATACTTCGTTTCAGCTTCGGTCCGAGCGCGGCCGATGTTATGAGCCGAAGGGCCAATCAAAGAACGCAAACAGCGCAGCGTCATGGCGTGCTCTCTGCTCTTGATAGGACTAGCCGGCGGAGGAGCACGCACAGAGAGACGGCGAATACCGGCTGGTCCTATCAACTGCAGAGAGCACTCCATAACGTCGTGCCTCTTTCGCTGTTTGATTGGCCCTTCGGCTCGTAACATCGGCCGCGCTCGGACCGAAGCTGAAACGAAGTATAGACACCAGCATAATCCATTTCTAATCGCGATAGATAGTAGCGGGATTTCCATCGAACCAGCGTTGCGCCGTCGCGCAAGTGATGCCTCTAAGGCCCTCAACTCGTCAAGCACAGAGTTGGAGCCGAAAGTTCACGTAGCGCGCCGATTGGATGTCGGCGACAAAAACGCCAAGTCATCGTCGTGATTGTCCAATTGGTGCGCTCCGTCAATTTGGGCCCCAACTTTGTATTTGACGAGTATAGGGCCCCTGGTGTTTGTAACGCCACTTATTACAGGGTGATGATTGCACTACGCAGTGGAAAGCTCTGTGCGGATAAAAACATCGGACCGATATAAATTTATATTTCACTTAAAATATAAATTTACATGAAACTAACTCAAACTGCTTCGAGTAGACCGGTCGACCTGCTTCGTACAAA